GTAGGTTTGAAGGGTCCTTACTTGGAAAAGGATCATATTAAGTATATTTTTACAAAATACATAAAGATGCCATGAAATATATACATATCATTTCAATTATCTTTTAATAAAAAAATTTGGATGGAAAGTAATAATAATTTGAGATGTCATACGAGGGTTGTTAAACAATTAGCGAAAAAAAAATTTTTGGAGAAAAATAATAAAAAATAATAAAAAATAAATAAATAAATAAAAAAAAAAAACACTAAGGAAAAGTCAAAAGTCATGTGGGGCCGACGATATGATACCCTACACCACTATACATATTTATTGGAGCTCCCGTAACAAAATAATTTACTTGAAGTAGATCATACCACCTATCAACATTGGGCTTTAGAGCTGTTATAGTTTGTTATAGAGAGTATGATATCATTTGGAGAAGGACTATATTAAAACACGTAAATAGCTTTGAATACCCTCCACAATTTGGTACAAATTTGTCAATTTTCAAAAAAATAAAATCCGTTAAAAATTCTTTTAAGGTCTATACGACGAAGTGGACCTGCATAGGCGAGATTTGTCACAAAAAAAAAAAAAAAAAACATCTGTTTATAATGAGCTAAAATCATAAAAATACCGAATACCAAGGGGGTTACAAAACGTGGACCTGTACAGACAATTTTCTGTCATAGCTGTAGTATCCATTACGAACTTCAAATGCGAAATCCCGATTCCGGTGAATAATGTTGCTGAAATCATCAAAATACCGCATATCGGGAGGTATCATTATATGATGGCTATACGAAGACTTGGACCTGCATACAAAATTTTTTGACATAGGCTGTAGAACCCATTAGGAACGTCCAGTACGAAATTTGAAACGATTCCGGTGAATAATATTGCTGAAATCATGAAAATAACGAATATCGGGAGGTACCGTTATATGGGGGCTATACGAAAATGTGGACCGACATGGCCCATTTACGAGCCAATCCTGGTATACTATGTATGTATGCAAAATTTTAGCCTTCTATCTCAATTCGTTAGAAAGATAATGTGATTACAACAGGCAGACGGACGGACAGACTGACAAACGGACAGACATACAGACGAACATCACTAGATCGTCTTAGAATTTTACGCTGATTTAGAGTATATATACTTTGTAGGTTCTATTATGAATATTTCGAGGAGTTACAAACGGAATGACAAATACTGGTGGAGGGTATAAAAACACTTAATAACCTCCACCATAAGGTGAAAAAAACTTCCATTTCCAATGAAAATGCCGAATCAGTTGGTTGCAGAGAAAGCTTTTAAAATATCATAAAATATAATTGGATCTAAATATTAACTCGGAAAAAATTTGATTCGTTTAATGCGAGATAATTGTATGATTTAGTTTTCGAAATTTTGGGATTTTTTGTTGCGCAGGTATAGAAAGATTGGACTCATATGTTACAATCTTAAATTAAATTAGGTCCATGATTTTTTGAAATATTGAGACATCCGAAATTTGAAAATAAAGAAAAACAAGTAAAACAGTCAATGTCTGCTTGTTTTCTCAACCAGAGATCTGATGTCAATATGGAATTTATCGGCCAACTCCTTCTGTAACCAATTTCAAAAAGGTTCTACCGTTTGATTATTCGCATAAAATTTGAAATAAATGTTCAATTTTCCTTAAATTCTGTAAATACCAATATTCAGTATTTTATGAAGTGGAATACTTCGGTCCACCGTATCTGGTACATGGCGCATCTCGTATAAAGTACAGGAAGTCGAGATATGCCATGTCTGGCACCATGCAATGACTATATCAGGCTTAGGTCAGATACGAGATGGACAATATTGGCCTGCCTTTCCAGTACTACCCTTATAATGGGTTAAAGGCTTGAATAATCATAACGCAAGGCAATATATATGCCTTGAAGGAGTTGGCCGATAAATTCCATATTCACATAAGATCTCTAGTTGAGAAAAATATTAAGACATACCAATTTTGAAAAGAATCGTTGACTTGTGTCGCAAGTTATGATATATACTTAAAAATGTAACCCATTGTGGGTTAGGTACCACAATAGGTGAACCCGATGTCTTTCATCGTCACAGCAAATCTTGGGTTAGTATAAATATATGCGAAGTTTAGAAGGAATCAGATGCTTATTTCGTATTTTATGAGCATTTTAGATATTCAAAATAATAGCACCTTTGTGGAGGAGCTACCAGAAGGAGTGGACCGATACATCCCATATTCACATAATATCTCTCTGCAGTAAAAATATTGAGACGTGTGAAATTTGTGGAGTATCGGATGTCTATTTCGCTTATATTAGCGTTTTGTTATTTTAAATTTTGATCCCTTTGTGGAGGAGGTACAAAAAGTAGTGGGCCGATATCCACCATAACAGATCTTGTGTTATTAGAAATATTCGGATGTGTAGAATTTTTGATAATTTCTAATTTTATGAGAGATATACTTATTCAAAAGTTGACCCACTGTGACCCAGTGTGAACAGTCCAATATATTCCATATGTTATAGAAATATTAAGATGTGCAGAGTTTCAAAATAATAGGATGCTAATTTCGCGTTTTATGAGCTCCAGGGTTATTCAAAATTTTAAGCTTTTGTGGGGGAGGTACTTGATGTACTGGGCCTATATTTCACACAAGACAGAGCACTAATACAAATATTGAGATTGGATTGGACATTTCTTGTTTTATACGCAAATTATTTTCTGTGAAATTTTTGACTTTTTGTAGGGGAGTGCCAGAAGAAGTGGACCGATATTGCCCATCTCCGAACTCGACCTAAGTTTGATAATAAACTTCATACATCGTTTGAATCAAATCGGATACTCCCTTCTAAAATTGTCGTTATGAATGTAAGTATTCAAAATTTTAACAAAAAAATTGATGGAGGTACCAAAACGAGTGGGCCGGTAAGTCACATATTCATATTTGGCCGGTATAGGCAAAAAATATCATAATAAAAGGTGCCTTATCGAAATATCGGTTGTAGATCCTAGGTCTCCTTGGACTAAATCAGTTTTAGAACATTTGAAGTCGAATTAGATAGAATTGGATACTCACTTCGAGGGTTCTCGTGCTCACTAGAACTCTTGAAGAAGTATTCAATTCGGTCCAAAATTGGTAAATTGTAATATTATTATCAAACTTAGATCGAGTTCCGGAATGTGAAACATAGACTCACTCCTTGTGATATCGAAATTTTAAAAGAAAATATTCGGCTTCTTAGAAAGAGAAAGGATCATCCGATTTTGCTCCAACTTTGAAAATCCTAATATTTGCATCAGTGTTAGGTCAGGTGCGAGAATGGACAATAACGACCCGCTATAGCTCCCACACATATATTTCATCCGATTTGGTGTCAAAGTCCCTCACATGCGTAATATGCACTCCACAACTAGTATATTTAATACCGATGCAGATCATCAGATGCAGCTCGAAAATACATCCACCAAATTTTATCGGGGTCGGTTCAGATTTTTTATGTACCTTCGATATACATGTCCATCCGGTTTTACGGTTACCGTCCATCATATATTTAATATCAGCCCAAATTGAATATATTTTTTCATATTCAACCGAATTGTTTCATTTGGTGGAACTCGGTCAGTTATATATATTGTTCCAATAAATATTTTTATACCATCCATCTTGGAAAGGAGGGTACATTAACTTTGTCATTCCGTTTGTAACATCCCTAAATATTCGTCGTAGACCCCATAATGTATATATGTATATAATTCTGAGACGATTTAACGATATCCGTCTGTCTGTCTATCTGTCTGTTGAAATCACGATACAGCCCACATTATTTGACGTAGAGCGTCAACATTTAGCAGAATAATTTGTATTATGTCTAGGATGGTTTGTATTTAAAATGGGATATATTTTGCCACATGGGTACACTTTTTGGTATATTCCCCATATAACGGTACCTCCCGATATTCGGTATTTTGATGATTTTTGCCATACTTTTTCACGGATTTGTCTGAAAATTGGTATTTGTAGGTTATAATGGGTCCTAGTTCGTGCGGCGAAACAGTGTATATATAGGTCCAAGCTTTGGTATAGCCCCCATATAACGTTACCTCCCGATATTCGGTATTTTGCTGATTTTTAGCACATTTTTTCATGGATTTGACTAAAAATTGGTAGTTGTTGGTCATCCGGTGGCGAAACTTTGCATGTATATAGCGGTACCTCCCGATATTCGGTATCTTGATGATTTTTGCCACATTTATTCATAGATTTGTCTAAAAATTTGTATTTGTTAGTCATAATGGATTCTAGCTCCGATGACGAAACTTTGCATGTATAGGTCCACGTTTTGGTATAGCACCCATATAACGGTACCTCCCGATATTCGGTATCTTGATGATTTTTACCACATTTTTTTTTCACAGATTTGTCTGAAAATTGGTATTTGTAGGTCATAATGGGTCCTAGTTAATGCGCAGAAACATTGTACGTTTAGGTCCACGCTTTGGTATAGCCTCCATATAACGATATCTTCCGATATTCGGTATTTGGTGGTTTTTGTCACATTTTGTCACGGATTTGTCTACAAATTGGAATTTGTTAGTCATAATGAGTTTTAGCATCGTTGGCGAAATATTGTATGTATAGGTCCACGTTTTTGTATAGCCCTATATAGCGGTACCTCCCGATATTCGGTATTTTGATGATTTTTGCCACATTTTTCCACGAATATGTGTAAAAATTGTCATAATTGGTTCTAGTGTTTCCATTACCCTAAGGTGGAGGGTATTAAAAGTTGGGCCCTTCCTGTTTTTTTCCAGAAAAGGCAAAAAGGTCGCAATATCCCAACAACCTGTCTCTTTAGAAATGTTCAGATTACTTCGGTAAAAATCTTCAGAAGAAAACGTAGAAAATTTAAAAAAATTGTTATCTGGCCTCGGGAAAATTGTTAAATAATATAGGCACAATTTAAAGAGCTCACTGAATAATTTATTTATTTTTTTCATTGCAGGTACGTGAAATAAAAAAAGACAACTTGTGGTAAGCTTTATATTTTTCTATTATAATAAGAAAATATGCTCATATGCGTTTTACACATTAAAATAAAGATAAATACCTTGATCTCTTGTCGGGCATATGCTCAATGTAATAAAGAAAGATAAATATTTTCAAAATAATTTTTAATCCGCTTTATAACGTTTACCTGGCCGTGGCAATGAAACTCAATACACTTGTGCTTGCCGCAATCGCAAGCCTTAAATACCATACATGCATGTAATATTTATGATTTTTGTTTCATCCCCCCCTAAAATATTTTATTAAAACGCTTTATAGTAAACGATAGAATCTACAGCAAATTTCCGCCAAAAATCAAGAAACGGAAGGAACATCCTAACAGAAACCGGATTATATTTTATTATGTTGTTTCTACTGAGAACATACACCTTTTTTGCTTGGCAAATAAACCTATAATTCTATCTGCCATTTTAAGATTTAATCTGTGCAACAGACAGCCTCACCCAAAAACGAAAAAGGTATGTGTCCCTGTTAAGAGATTTATATCTTGTAAAATAAAACCGAAACAACCAAATAAAAGTAATCCTCAATTGAGTAACGGGGATTGTATTAAAAAAAAAAAAAATAAAAGAAAACATAACACATTTCTCGTAAATATTTTATACCAACAAGGGGAGGAGTAAGGGAAGGTTTTACAATTAGTTGGCAAACTTTAGTTTTGTTAGGTTGCCCTGGCGAAGCCAATATTTCATGGAAAAATATGTCCACAGAGACATGTGATTTTTTCAGAGTTAAACCTACGAAATAATTCTAATTTTTGTGATGAAAAAAATCTGTTTTTTTTTTTTAATGACAGAGGACTTATGGTTACTGAAAAACTAGTAAAACACTTTAATTCTGGCTGGGGCGAATTTTTTCCATCCTCGGCTCTGTGAAAACATAGATTCTCAATATCCCAAGACTTCGAATGTTCCGTTATGTGGGGGTTATACCTATATAGATTTTTTTGGAGAAGTTAAACTACTCACTCAAAACTCGGAATGTCACTTATTGTAAGACATTTGTCTGGAAATTGGGGCCGAAACCTTCAAAATACCGAAAATCAAAAAGTTCCGTTATCCAGGACTATAGCAACGAGAAGACCTACATTGAATATTTTTTTAAGGTGTTAATCCAACCAATGAGAACACAAAATATAAATTACCGCTGATTTTATAGTTGGTTCTCTACCCCCAAAGTAGCCTAAATATAAACTTTCAGACAACGAAATCGGTAAAATTAGGAGGTTTCTTTATATAGGCGCTACTCAAAACATTGATCTACTTTGGACATTTTTTCCGAAGAGGTTATTTACCCCCTTAGAATCCAAAATTCCAAATAAACGCCAAATCCATTGAAAAAATGTGGCCAAGACCCCATATGCAAGCAAAATGTACATTTTAGACCCCACAAAGTATCTATATATATATTCTGTAATACCTAGAAATGTACATTTTAGACCCCAAAAAGTATATATATATATATATATATATATATATATATATATATATATATATATATATATATATTCCTGATCAGCATAAAATTCTATGTCGATTTAGCTATGTCCGTCCGTCTATAGAAATGAATCTAGCTTCCGAACGAATTGAAGTAGATTGATAAAAGTTTACTCAAATGTATATTATGTCTGCAGGACTTTTAGGACTTGGGTCATGTAGGTCCAAGTTTTGCTATAGCCCCCATATAACGATACCTCCCTATATTCGGTATTTTTATAATTTTAGCTGCAATATTCACCGGAATTGTTTCAAGTTTGGTATTTGATGTTCGTAATCGATCTCCTATGACAGGAGATTGTCTGTGCAGGTCCACGTCTTCGCATAGCCCCCATATAACGGTACCTCCAGATATTCGGAATTTTGATGACTTTAGCTACATTATTCACCGATTTTTTTCTAAGTTTCGCATTTGAATATTGAATGACTGATGACAAAAGTTAGCTATGCAGGTCCATGTCGTCGTATTGACCCTAATATAACAGCTACATTCTGTATTTTTAAGATTTTAACAGAATTTTTAACGGATTTGATTGTTTTTGAGGTATACCCTAAGTCAGGGTATAATCTAATATGGGGGCTATAACAAAACGTGGACACGACATGACGCACATTTTGTCAGGAATGATTCTACATGTAACCTTAAGACCTATATAAAAAGCTCTATCTTAAATTTTGAAAAGTATACAGCAACATATTTGTTCCCCTCTGTCTATGGTTAAGGCTATATTAATATTTAAGGAGTTCATGGTCATTGTAAAATACTCAATAATTCAAGCCTTAATAACTAATCACAAATAATAGCTAAAAACGCTGAAAACTCTATATTGAAGGAGCTATGCCCATTTTAAAGTTTTCGTTTTATGCCTCAAATTACCAAAATTTGCCGAAATTGGTTTGAAAAATATGAATAAAATGTGAAAATACTTGGAATCGGGGCATACCCTTGTATGGGGGATAAACCAAAAGTTTGGCCTGTGAACCCTAAACACTTTTGGGATTTTGATAGACTAACCGAATTCTACCACCTCCATCATGCCATGAAAATTGTCACACAGTGTATTTAGGAGTATGTAGCGATTTTTAGTTTTCCACGATTCATGGTTGGTAAAGTGTGATTAGACGGGTTTCAGGTTACCGACGATTCGAAGGTGATCGGGAACTCGTGGATGATAAGCAGTTCACTGTGGGTATATTCGGGAGGAGATGTCCAAGTCTTCTAAGATACATCGGGACTCGTTTGTGTTCAACAGCTCACTGTGGGGATATTCGGGAACAGATCTCCAGGCCTTCTAAGATGGATCGTGACTCGTTCAAGTTGGACAGTTCACTGGAAGCGTGTTCGGATCTAGCTGTTTGGGTCGTCTACAATGACTAAGAAATTAATCTAGCCAGCACCACGGCTTATGATTACCCTTCTAGTGCAAATGTTTGAGTTACGATGCTGTACAACGAGTCGAGTGGAACAACGAGCCGAAGCTCTTGTAGAATAAATAGCCAGAGCCTCCTGTGGAAAAACGAGCCAAAGATTTCTGTGGAATAAAGAGCCGAAGCCCCTGTGTCTCTTCAGCTTAATGAGAGTCAGTTCAAAAAGTATTCCCAGCTAACGAATCTGTCAGTCGGAAGACAGAACATAATTCAGAATATCACTAATTACACTTTGGCAAGCCCCTTCCTGTGGGAAAGCTGCCTAATTGTAAGCTAAACCGAACACTATATGTGACACGCAAGTCAACGAGAATTATTTGCCTTATGCGGTAAACAGCATATTGTGTATTCGGTCCTATACATGAGATGAAATCATTACCACCATAACAATGAGGGAAAAACTGTAAAAATTTGTCAAGATCGTAGCCGGCTATACGATACTCTACACCACTATTTAATAGAGCTACCCGTAACAAATAAACATTATTATACTCTAAGCCATACTGTGATAGGGCTATACAGGGTGAGATAAAAAACTGCAACAAAGTCAAACGACATAATTTTTACTTTTTTTAAATTTTATTGAATGAAAGCAAAAATTGTTGGAAATTGCATCAAATTTTGAAATTAGTTTAGATTTGTTGGAATTGGTCACCTTTGGCACGAACTATGGCCTTCAAACGGTCGATGAAACCGTCACACGCTGCCCGAATGTTGCTCTGCCGTATTGTGGCCCATTCCCGGCGAAGCGCTTGCTTGAGGTGATCGACACTTTGGTATTTTTTAGTGCCAATCTTGCTTTCCAAAATACTCCAGACACAATAGTCCAACGGATTGGTATCCGGAGATTTTGGTGGCCATTGTAATCATTCTTGGGTGGCGCGTGCTGAGTGTGATGGTGCTGAGTCCTGTTGAAATGTCTAAGGTCTGCGACTAAAATGTTTGCGTGCCCAAGGAGACCATCGGATGTTATGGCGGCCCACGCCATCCCTACGGCAGGCGCTTGAGTTTAGGTGGCAAGGAAACACGATCATTTTGTTTGTTTACAAACTGTTGGACAAGACCAGTTTCGGCCAAGCGAATCAACTCTTTAGTTCTTTTGAGTCTATTTTCTGTCGGTTGCGGTGTAAGTTCTTGCACTTTTTGGAATTTCAATGGCTTTACACCGAGCTCATTTTTCAATATTTGCCGAATGGAATATTGCGATATGTTCAGCTCACGAGCCATTTTTCGGTCACTGCGACGCGGGTTTCGATCATCGATCGCTTCTTTACTTTTCGAACCATTTATGCTGATGTTGCTGTTTTCTTCTATCCACTTCTGTGACGTCGGGCTACGGTACCAGAATCACGATAACGAGCGATGGTACGAGACACAAAAGATTTATTCACGTTTAAATGGTGCTCTAACGATAGCCACTTGTGGTTTTCCAGCCAAATATAAAGAAATCACATTATCACGCTTGAATTCCATCACGAATAACTTTTTTTCTGAAAATTACTCACCAAAAAAAAAAAACTTTTGTACGGTTGTAAGCAATATCTGTCACTGGAATAATTGTAACAGCTGTCGGACGAGTGGCTTAAAATTAACTGCAGTCTGAAGTTGGTTGTAGTTTTTTTATCTCACTCTGTATATATCTAAATCGATTTTCCCCGAATTTGATGTACTTAAATCTAGACTGAATTCGGTCGGAAGGGCCAAATTTCAGGTTATTTGGACTTATATTGGCAGATTGGTGCACAATTAACCCGAAATCGGTTAAAGATATATAAGGGAGCTCTATCTAAAATTGAACCGATTCCCGCCAATTTCAATAGGGATTGTCCTTAGCCCATAAAAATTTTGTTTTCAAAATGCGACCTGCATTTTGTTCATAAAAATACATGGACAGGTAGACGGACTGCCTGCCATGTATAAATGGACTCTGAAAGTGATTCTTTAAAGATCCTTAAAAGTAACTGTGGGTCTATCTCGTTTCCTTCTCCATGTTACAAACAAATATAGAAATACATAATACCCTTACGACTATGTGGTGTA